TCTGCACATCAGCACCCCCCACTGAACAAGGATGGGTTTACTACTAGCCGAGAGAGAGAAATGAAAGCGCCATTTACTCACAGCATGCCCCAAACCAGGGAAATACTGAGTCTGTGCACGCAAGTGTCTGCATGGATAGTCTTAAGACTCTGCAACTGAAACATAAGAGCAAAGGTCTGCCCCAAGTCTCCCACAGGAGCAGACAACAGCAACGTAACTGACATTTAATACAGAAGGTGCACAAAACCCCCACGCTATCCCCTGCACGCACCCCAGAACATTCCCAATACCCGAGGACAAACTCAAACGTGGAAGACCAAGCGCCACAAGAACCAAAATACACCACAAGAAATCAAAGAAATGAACCAAACCTCTCCCTGCAGCTGTAAGTGAAAACAGCCAGACAAGCCCCGAACTTGAATTGCGCGGTGAAGGAACACACCTCACTTGCAGAGCTCGGCATTAACCTAATCCATAGTAATGGCGCGATCATTTCTGGCACGGTCACATCATAGCTGTCACGAGAACCCACGGAAAGGTCTAGAACCAGCTAGAGACTGCTTTTTCCACAGAGGCCTAAATGAAGGAAGCCAGCCAGCTGTAAGAACTACGTGGTTAAACGACTGCATCTACAACATGATTCACCCTAGGAAAGCGTGTCTCATGTTAAAGAAGGCAGCTGGAACTGTAGGTACTGACCATCTTTCATACTGTATAAAGCGACTACCTAATTCAGAGTACTCAAATACTCTGCAAACGTATGGGAGAGCAAACAACTACGCAAGCAGCTTCTGCTGCTCCGTGCATTATCATAAGATCATAAAGTAATTACATATTAGTAAAATAGGCTGGATTTACAGCCTGCAAAACTCAAGTGCCCATTTGAAAGCGGAACAGGAAGAGTGGAACCTTCTTCAGGCTATGCCCTGACAAAGCTCACCCGCGGTGCCAACTCACCCCGCTCCTGCCAGCACTCCCCGTGACAGCAGTCAAGTAACGACATTTATTCCCGAGGAGCCTGACCAAGACGCAACTCCTTTCATGCAAAATAGCAGTGGAAAGATTCCTGCTACTCACCAACACCTGACAACCTCCAGGCAACATCTGTCAAACTAATTAGCGACCCAAAGTCAGGCAAGGTCTGAAACCTTCATGACTTCTGCACAATTTACTTTGTGTGGCAAATTTCACGTTCATTGCTTTACTAAGGTTAACTACGATTTCCTACTGAGGCACCAACGCATGTGAAGTCTGCAGCAAAAGCGCTGTAAAAGCAACAGTCTGTGCAGATCATTTCATAATGATATTTTCCAAAAGATTTGAGATACTTCTTTTCAAGAGGCTGCCACATCCTCCGGTGCTGAAGAATGACGAGAAAGATCCAGCCTCAAGCACGCACATCAGACAGAATCTAGAGCTGCCAGGAAGATGACAAGGAAATTCTCCCTGGCAAAACTCCAGCGACCCCAGGCTCGCAGACCAGCTGGGCCCAGGGAAAAACTGTTCCCTTCCGTTAGAAACCTTTAAAATTAACTAAAAACTTAAAAAAGCTACTTTTTGGGGGTGGACCAGTCTCTGGCCGCACCACAACTCAACCCCTGCTCATCAGCTGCTCCCCAGCAGAGGAGCTGGCACTAAGAGCACCACTACTCAGCAGATAAAATTAATGCAATTACATCAACCCTTTTCCATAAGGACCCCCACAATTTATGCAGCAGCAGACAATAATTATCCTGTGACCACACTCTTCCTGTGCCTTAACCAACCTGTGAGTGAGCCATTTGGCATGTTTCCAGCTGCTTTGGTGCGCTAGTTACAATCATTCTGAAATACAGATCTCCACTTTTGCTAATTCCCTGATTTTTATTAAGCCACAGAGAACAGAATCACGCATTCAGACAAAGGTGAGTCCTTAAGCAAAGTATCTCTATCTTGTCTTACTGTAATTCCTAAACAGAAGCACAGAACATGGAAACCCTTGATGCTGACTTAGCTGATTCAGAAAAGGTCTTCACTTATTTTTGCTGGTTTTTTATAGAAGCTAGCTCAGACACATCATAAAGGCTGTACTAAATCAGATCCAAGTGTGCGTCTGTGTGTGCCCATTAATGCCGAGTGCCTACATAGCCCTTACGCGGTTCAAGATGTTTTACAAACATTAGACACCGAATTAAACCTCCAAATACTCTCCCTAATACAGTGACTATCGCCCTAATTTACAGGGGTCAATTGAGCCACAGAAGTTAAGCAACTTACGCAAGCCAGGAAGGGCCAAAGCAGAGAAGAGGTTAACGCGCAGGACCCCAAGAAAATCTGCCCCACCTGGCAGAAAGGCAGGAGTGGGTAAGGCCTGCACTCTCTGAGCAGCCAAAAAGAATAACTGGAAGTGGAATAATCATCTCCTACCCACACATTTCTCTTTTAGCAAGATAAGGAAATAATATCCCAACAACAACAAAAAAAGGAAATATTTTAAAATCACCTACAAAAGAACTTCATGGTAATAACTCTGAACTACAGCACCGGCCTTATGACACCAAGAAAAACCCAGACGCGTGAGACTGCCTCTGTTCTTCACAGCTGAGCCTTCCCCTCAGAGCAGGGCGAGGACCAAACACTGCCCACAAATTCTTCTATTTCTCCACCTGCTCAGCCTTCCCCAAGATCATCCTATTCACGACTGGCTTCCTGCGCCCATCGCTTCTGCAATGAAACTTGGGAAGGAGGAAGGAAGGGTAACGTTAGAGGTCACTATAAGAAGATGACTGCGCCTTCAGCATGGTATTTACATTTGGATATTTTTAACATTTCAACCACCACATTTAATTAGCCCGGGGGAAGGAATGACTTACCCATAAACAGGGCTTTCCCAACTTTACAGGCCATGCAATTTGTCGGTGTTCTATACACAACATCTAATTTAACTCCTTAGGATGACATCACCAGGAAGCCAGCTCCTTCCCAGCACGGCTCCTTAAGCCTTCAATTTCTGACAGTAAATAAGCAGCACAAAACACCTCAGGCCATCAATATTATTTCAAAAATACTATTCCTCAGAGGCCACTTTCAGTTTTGTTTCCTCCTTTTAATTCCATCCACTTAATAATTTTCTAGAGCAATTGCCTCACCTTCTACAGAAATAGTTCTCTCCTCCCCAGTTCCCCAGGAGATAACCAACTGCCAGCGTTAGATGCTGCAGAACCAGCGGAGTTTCCCAGACATTGGACCTTCCCACCTCACTGCCTGCAGAGGCTGCAACGCTCGGCTGCTGCTGGGAACCAGCTCGCTGGCTCTTGAGAAGAAAATGTCCAAGAAAGGTTGGGATTCCCACCACCCCCAGCCTTAGACGACACCATCTGCTCCGCGGGGCAAGGTGCACCAGACCACTTTAGAAATAAACTAGTTACTGAAATTTGAAGAAGCTCTAATTACACTAACATTTTCACAGCAGGACTCTGCCCAAACATACGCCCCCAGCTGACGTTTTTCCCATTATCCACAGCAAGGCAGGACAGAGTAAAAATTGCTGCGGGTAGGCTTCAAATGGTACTAGGGACAAGGGAATTGGGTATGATGAAGAAGCGAAGAACACTCAAATCTATGAGTTCGAAGCTTCCCGTCCACACCACAGCTTAATCCTTTCCTCCTCGTCCTCAGTGACGGGAGAAAGCCCTCTTCCGAAAACAGCCCGTGTGGCCTCCAGGCAGAAAGGATGTTATTTCTATTTCTAGGACACTCACACTCCAGTCGACTGAAGACAGCCTGACTCCACTACAGGGTGTATGTTCTAATCCTGGGGCACACGGAGGCCATGAGATCTCACATGGGACACGCAGCCAAGGCGGCCCAAAATAAAGCGCAGCCCGGCACCGCATGTGGCACGGCAGGGCCCGGGGCGGGACTGCGGGCCCTCGCTGCGGAGCCCCGGGCGGGAGCAGCCGGCGCCTCCCTGCGGGACCAGGCTGGCCCTAGAGAAAGGCCTT